TAAACCATTAAAACTGCTTCATCGGTCACCATGCCCACCTCCGATTCATCACCCAAAGCACTAGCCTGCCTTGGTGCATTTGCATGCACATGATGCATGAGATCAAAGCAACCATCCATATAGAGCATAACATTCTTTTTCACACATTTCTTATTATGATAAATTCCCAAATCCGGCAACGATAAGGGAACTCTAGAACCCCAGTGGATCCAAAATAACCAGTAGATAGCCCAGAAATGGCAACCGTAAGCCATTCTTTTTTACGGTTTTCTTCCTTTAACTTTCCCCACCAACTGGAGATATGTTTGTCGCTCCACAAAAAAAAATTGCACCAAATTCAGAAATGGCTAATAAAATAATCAAGTAGAATCAGGGATAAACGTAGGGTAAAAAAGCAGTGGAATCATTATCGGATGGTATTCATCATGCTCTAAAAACAAAATGAATAAAAATGACAAAAAAGTATTGCGTAGACAGGTTTTTCGATGGAAGAGAGAGAGGTAAAGAGAGAATACGCATAGAGCCCATAAAAAAGAAATTTTTGGGTTTTTGAAAAATTGAAAATTTTAAATTTTTGATTTTTTAAAAGTCGAAATTGATCTGATTTTGGTTTTTGAAAAATTAAAAAATAGATATTTTTTTCTTTTTTTAAAAAAAAATTATTGTGAAATCTAAAAAACAGGCATATAGTAAAACATAAAGTATATGATATTTTGGTAATAATAAAAATTAAAATGAATATTTACATAATTTTTCCTTTCAGTTTTTTGCACCTGCACTTATGTTCACATGGAAAGCATAATATAAAATAATGGATCGTCGACCTTTATACAAACAAAATAAAGCCTCATGTCAAATTCTCGTCTGGAAAACACTTTAGCAATAGAAATCTATGTGATGGCTCTAAAATCAATTTTCTAACATTGACAATAAATTTTGAAATTAAAAAATATACAAATCTTGTCAATCTTTGAATGCTTATTTTTAGGGAGAAATGAACGGTCTAGATAATTTGTTATATTGTGCCCTATTTTTAGAGTTTGAAATCTTAATTTTTTTTCACAACCATAATGTTCAAACCGAGATGATCGATTTAAACATTTTCCAGTACTTGAATTATAATTTTGGATGAGTTATGATGTGAGGCTTTGCTTATTTAGATATAATTACAATCCTATCAAATAAATTTTCCTTTCTTTTGTACATGAAGGTCAAAATCATTCATGTCCATTAAATTTCAAAATGGGTGGTTGTAAGAGTGTTATTGAATAGACATAAAATTTCAAAAAAATAATTCTCGAACTTTGTAACTCACTCAAAGCTATCCAATTTGACATCTAATGAGTGGGGATGATTGTGACCTTTATTTACAAAAGATAAATGACCTCTTTTATAGATAATCCCAAAAATAAATACCATTTGTTTTAGTAAGAGATCATAATTAATTTTAATCAATAGATGAAAAATAAGGCATTTTGGTGGTCTCCTTGGTTAGGCTTAGTGCCTTAAAAATAATTTCAAACTCTGTGACATATTTCAAATTGTCAAATTTTATATTTAACGACAATGGATGATTTTGATCTCCTTGCACCAAATTTAAATAGGTTTACCGTATACAATTCAATCTATTTATTTCCTTGTTCCTCTAGGTCGATCAATTGTTTTCTCAATCTATTTATTTCCTTGTTCCTCTAGGTCTACCAATTTTATTTGGAAAACAATTGATCGACTGAGAGCGGATGAAATAGTATTTCTCTCAGGCATTTTGTTTGACCTCAAATTAGCATATCTTTTATAGCCATTTGGGGGAGTATCGTGATTTAAATAAATAAATCATTACCATCATCAAAGTTTTTTCTGAATTATTTTTATTTGAAAAAGGTTGATTTTTTTTAGAAAAGAAAAAAATACACTAAATATATATCATTCATTTTAGTAAAGAAAAAAATAGTGTCAGATCAAAGTTTTAGTTTTTTGTTTTTTTATCCTAAATTTGGTATATAGGATCATCATCCCTAAATGAACAATCATCATCACTAAATGAATAATTTTGAGTTATTAATGAACTAGATCTACGGCCCATGAAATAGACAACCTGCTCTTATCGAGTCCAAAATACTATGGTAAATTGTTTCATGCCCGCGTGGTAGTTGGACGGTGGATATTGCAGACTGTCAACTAACATGAGCGGTGGAGATTTTATGCGGGCTAGTGGGCTAGCCCGCATAAAAACCGTGTCCAAAAACTATTTTCATCAAAGGATGATGGAGGCAGGTCTTGGGCCTTAAAAGCAGGCCAATGTCTTATATCCGGTTAACATCGATGGTGGATCCAATGAAAGTAGTAGCTTTTTTTTTGTCATTAACTTGTATTATCACTATTCTTAACCACATTTGTTTTTCTGTGGTTTTTTTCGAATGTTAATGGTCGGAATGGAACCTAACATTTGTTTTTCTGTGGTTTTTTTCGAATGGTCGGAATGAAACCTAACATTTGTTTTTCTGTGGTTTTTTTCGAATGTTAATGGTCGGAATGGAACCCAAGACATCATATTGCAAAACCCTTTACTTGCCACCGATACCCAGGTCCGTTACCCTAATTGTATTATAGCGTTTCTAAGCTTGCACCTATGTTGTCTCACCCTTTCAGTGACGACTTTTTTCCTATAGTTCCTCTCTATGGTGTGCTATTTTCAAATTACCACGGAATATGTGTGCGTGTGTTGTCTCCTCCTCAAAATCTTGGAGGTAGATCTTTAGATCTAAAATTTAACATGTCGATAATTTTGACCACCACGATCATGAATATAAAATAAATATACATTTTAAATTCTAAAAATAGGTATTTTAAATTTTGTTTTTGGACTTGCATTTTAATTCATTACAAAATGACCCATCTTTAAAGTTTAAATCCCCCACACGGCTGAGATTATCAAACTCTAAAATTTAATCTAAAAAATCCGTCTAAATTGATATATAATATGGATTTTTGAAGGAGATCAAATTTGAATGAGAACTCACCAAAACTTTATTTATACATGTATGTATGTGTGTATGTGAGTGAGTGTGTGAAAAAAGCTATCGAATAGGTTACCGCCAAAATGCTATGAAAATTTGGTAGCACTCTCAATTGTCTAATCAATCTTTGGATTTTATTTCTTTTATTTTCTTTTACCTATCATGTATTCATTTTCACCCCAATATCCACACCTAGCAACTTTTTCCATATGGGTTTCTCTAAAGATAAATCTTTTCTATTAAATTTTTTCACATGGATTGGCTTTTGCTAGTCGGTTCCCATCCAAGTTTAGCTATGAAGAACATGTTTATGTCCTTGATTCTTTTGATACCAAGCTGCCCTTCTCTTTTCACTTTGGCAATACAGTTCATTTGACAAAAGTTTAGGTGTTTTTTGTTGCGGTGGTTGCTCCAAGGGATGTTTCTTTATGTATACTAGAAGGTGTTGATTGTGTTGGAGGGTAGCTGAAAATGGAAAACCACGGTTTGAGATTTGAAGTAAGGCATGAAATGAGTAAAGTGAGTCTTGAGGGGTATGAAAATATTTTAGTAATTTGATAATAAAAGTAGATTTATATATTTTTTTCTAAAACATTTAATTTGAGAGGAAAATAGAAAGAGATCTCGAGAAAAAGAGAAGGGGAAGAGTTTTAGTGAGTGAGAGAGAAACTCAGACAAAGAGAGAAAGGGGAATAGAGAGAGAGATTGGAGCATCTTGTCCCAACCCGAGAGAGAGAGAGGGGTTGGGGCAAGCCCCTCCCCTAACAAATAAAAAGAGAGAGAGAGAGAGGAGTTGGGGGTACAAGCCCCAACCTGTGAGAAAGAAAGAGGTTGGGGCAAGCCCCCGACACAACTAGGGCAAGCCCTTATCCCAATAAAGAGAGAGAGAGGTTCGGGTAGGCCCTTGCCCCAACAGAGAGAGAAGACGCCAGGTATGCCGTCCCAACCTAAGAAAGAGATGGGTTGGTACACGTAGCCCCAACTCAAGAAATAGATAAAAGTTGTATTATAACAATGCAAACTTCTATCAATTTTTTCAATAAATTGTCGATTAATGTACAAAGTGGCCGATTAGTATATAAATTGAACGATTTGCACTGTAGGGAAATTCCCCAATATATGGTATATGCAATCGAGAATACTTGGGCTAGGCCATTGCTCGAGTCTTAGTAAGTCGGACGATTTTTTAAAAGTCAGCCGACTTTTCAATCAATGATCGTAACACCTCTTGTAGGGTCAATCACTATTGTTTATTGATATAGATTGGCCATTCTCAATCTGGATCGGTGCATTTTAAAACACCATTAGATGATTATGAACGGGAAGCTGATGTGTACAAAATTTGGTAGACCCAAATCCTCCATCTCCGTCCAACACATCGACGGGACGGTGATAAACCCACGGTCATCACAGCATTGGCGGTATAGATCATATGACCGAAATTGGGCTGAAATTCTAAAGCCTTCCATGACCAAAACGATCTGAAAATGCCGCAATTTCAAACCCTTGGGGGTAGACTCTTTGCCTGACTTGAACACGAATCGTAAACTTAGAGAGAGAAAGTATGGAGAGAGAGAGATAGAGGGGGGAAACCTACATAAGAGATTAGAAAGGTATTCGAGTTAGTTAGTGAGAGAAAGTGAAGGTTAAAAATTAGAAAAAACTTTGTATAGAATTTTAATTTTTTGTATTATTTTATGGTAAATTTTTTTTATGTTTTTCTTTCAAGAGGTCTAAAAAAACCTTTAAAGATATTATTATATTTTTAAGCTCTTATCCGCTTATTTATTGACTTTTGATCATTAAAATTATCCTTAACAAAGTTATTTTATTATTTCAACTCAAAATTTTGTTTAATAGAAGAAAGAGAAAAAAAATTCAAAATTTTTTAAAATTAAAAAATTAATTAGAATTAATTTTTTATGATAAAAAATCGATTATAAAAAAATTCGACAAAATCTCAAAAACATTAGATTTCCTAATACCGCTCGAAAGACAGAGGTCTACCACGAGGGGAGGGGAGGGGAGGGGAGGTGAGGTTGTTTACGAAATTCGCGGTGAGGAAGCTCTAAAAATGAATAGAAATTGAGCATAGGGAGAGAGCGGCGTGGCGCATTGTATACAAGGGGGAAATTGATCGTCTCTGTACGCGAAAGTTTACCGCCCGCCCTTGGAACCTCTATTCCTCTCTCTCTCTCTCTCTCTCTCTCTCTACGTAAGACGACGACGAACTAACGTAGGTAGGTAGTACTACTCTCTACCTACTACTACTACTACTACTTCTTCGTCTCCTCTACTCGTACTTAACTTA